TATACTCTGTGAAGGCTTTGCATGAGGCCTATTTCATTGGGCAAGTTGTAGAACCCCTTTTAGGTATTCCAATCAGTTATAGGCTGAAGGCGGGCTTACAAGTTTTCTTTACTCATGTTTCCCAACATTCCTATCTATTCCACTCAAGTGTCTATTTTACAATAATAGGCAAGGGAAACCAATATTCATAAGACAGTCAAGTATCTTAACATTATTTCCCCTCTTTTACGTAAACCATTTAGACTATGCCTTTATCCCTGTATCACAGAGTCTTATTGTTCCAAGATTGAGCATACATCACTATTTACCTCTGTCTCATTTAGCCCATGCAAACCTAGTGTTCCCCTATCTTCTTTGGGCTTCCATCCCCCTGCTTGTGTATTGCCCTCCTCTTCCTTCTTGTGTATTGCCCTCCCCAACACCAGAACTATGATGTGTCTATTCCTTAACCTGTGTTCTACCATCCCCTTCCTCCCGACCCTGGTAACCAACAAAGTACTTTTTTTTTCTTTTAACATGGGTATCTTTTCTTAAGGTTTTACAATAATGGTCTTACGCAGTATTTGTCCTTCACTCAGCATAATGTCCTCTAGGTTCATCCATGTTATGTGTTGTATGCAACTTCCTTGTTATTCTTCAAGGTAGTATAATATTCCATTGTGTGTATGTCCAAAAATTTGTTTATCCATATTTCCATTGATGGGCACTTAGGCTGTCTCTGTCTTTTTGCTATTGTGACTAGCTACGATAAATATTAGTGTGCATCTATCTACTCATGCTCTGACTTGTATTTCTTGTGGATATATACCAAGTAGAGGAATTGCTGGTTTATAAGGTATTTCTATTTTCAACTTTCTGAGGAAGTGCCATACCGTTTTCCAGAGTGGTTGAACCATTTTATAGTCCCACCTGCAATGTAGGAGGGCCCAGTTTGTCCACATCCTTGCCAGCATTTATTGTCCTCTGTTTTTTGTTTTTTTTTTTTAACTTTGCTGTTATTGCTGGTAGTATCTTTTTTTATTTTATTTTTATGTTTTATTGTGAATTATGTGATAGATTACATGGGCGAACATTAGTTTTACATTCATTCTATCATATATAATTTCATTGCCATTGTTACAATACCCTCCATGCATCATCAACCAACCAAAGGGTATACACTACAAGTCTGCCCCTGGTCATCAGGACACAGCCCCTCTCCCTCTCTGGATCTAAAGTCCCCATCTGCTCCATCTCTCCACGTCATCATCTCTGCCTCCATCTCAGGCATCACTGCTTCTCTGGGTAGGGTCTTGCTCTCTGCTCTTCTCCATTGATGGTCCCAGGGACCTCCGCTCCTAGAGTGAAAAGTTAATCACTCCCCTCCTTGCTATAAAATGTCTACCTTTACATTTCCAACCCTCACAATCAGTCCTGATAACAATTCTTCACTACTGTATCACAAGAGACCTATCTGCATTTCAGCCCCACCTAGACAGATTGGGTACTACTCAGTGGAGATTCTACCTTCCTCCATGCCCTCTGGATCTAGGTTCTCTCTTGAAAGCTTGTAAGCCAGTCACTTCTTGCCTTTGTAGCCAATGTCCAAGTTGCCCATCCCTGTGTATGGAGGGGGTGGAAATGATCCTTGCTGTAAAGATTTGTTCCCTTTTTTGATCTACTGCATCAATAGGTGTAGGTCAGTTCATCAAATTGTATCAGATTACTCTTTTTTTTTTTTTCCTCTTCTATCTTCTTCTGGTTGAGCTCTGATCATTCAATCATTAAAGCCAGATCAAGTGGGTATTATCTGCATTTATGGGTGTTCTTGTGCATATGCCCTCTCTTCTTATCACCTTGACGCTTCACTCTCCACTCTAGTCCTCTGTGGCTATGTTACTGACTCTGGGCCAAAGAGTCCCCAGGTCTTGCCACACTGCTGGCCACCCAGGTCTCCTCCTGGGTACACAGGAGTCTATTGAACATTGTAGGGCTTAGCTCGCGGCTTCATTGCTGTTTTTCCCTCACTTCCCCCTATTGGTGACGAGCGTGGTCACCAATCAGAGTGTGTATTCCCATTGAGTCTTAGTCTTGGAAGGGGGTTTGCACTGAGGGGACCCGACCACTTGCCTTGATGTTTCCTGGGCAAGCAACTTGCTTGTTCTTGTAGTAACAGTCCGTCTGCCTCTATTGTTTTGTATTTTTCCTGTAGGTCTTTCTTTCAAGAAGTATGTTCTGTTCTTCTAGCCACTCCAGGCTGGTCTGCTCGTCCTTTCAAGTGGAAATTTCCCATCTCTGAAGATCTGGATGTGGTTCAGGTTTTCACCTATAGTCTTACGTAATGCAGAGGCTCCGCAGGAAGGCTCCTTCACTTTAGGTATTCCAATCAGTTATAAGCAGAAGAAGGGCTTATAAGCTTTCTATGGTGATGTTTCTGGCTAGTCCTTTCTCTCCCCCTCTAGTGTCTATTTTATAATATAATGCAAGGAAAACCAAGATTCAAAAGACAGCCAAGCATCTTAACATTATTCCCCCCTTTTCCCCATCCCAACCATGTCTCAATCTCTATATCCCAGAGCACTGTTGTTTCAAGGTTGTACACAAGGTTATTTACCTCTGTCCCACTTAGCCCATTCAAATCTGCCTAATTGTTCTCCCATCTGCTTTGTTCTTCCATTCCCCTCTCCCTTCCTGTATATTGCCCCCCTCCCCAGCACCCAAACTATCCTGTGTCTATTCCCTGCCCTGTGCTCCACCTTCCCTTCCTTCCCCTCACCTCACCCCCACATCCCAGCAACCAACAAAGAATCCCCCTCACTTTAGTATGGGTTCTTTTTCTTAGTCTTTTACAGTAGTGATCTTATGCAGTATTTCTTCTTTTGTGACTGACTAATTTCACTCAACATAGTGTCCTCAAAGTTCATCCATGTTATGTGATAGCTTACAGCTTCCTTATTGTTCTTCAAGGTAGCATAATATTCCATTGTGTGTATGTACCACAGTTTCTTTATCCATTCTTCAGTTGATGGGCACGTAGGCTGTCTCCATCTTTTTGCTATTGTAAATAGTGTTGCTATGAGCATTGGTGTGCACATATCTACTCGTGTTATGGCCTGTATTTCTTGTGGGTAAATACCAAGAAAAGGAATTGCTGGATCATAAGGTATTTCTATTTCTTACCTTCTGAGGAAGTACCATATTGCTTTCCAGAGAGGTTGGACCATTTTGCAATCCCACCAGCAATGCAGGAGCATCCCAGTCTCTCCATATCCTAGCCAGCATATATTGTCCTCTATTTTTTTGATCTTTGTTGTTATTACTGGTGTGAGATGATATCTCATTGTTGTTTTGATTTGCATCTCTCTAATGGCTAGTGATCATGAACATTTCTTCATATGTTTACTGACTGCCCGGATCTTCTCCTTGGTGGAGTGTCTGTTCATGTCCTCTTCCCATTTTTCAATTGGGTTATTTGTCTTTAATTGGGTTATATTGTCTCAATAGCACTTAACAATAACAATATTTAGAAACCGTTTTCATGAGCACAATTAAGTGTTCCGGAATACTCATACTTTGCAATGTTGTCTATAGCTTGTCATGATCTACACAATCGAAAGCCTTTGCATAGTCAATAAAGCACAGGTAAACATCTTTCTGGTAGCGTAGTGGTTACGAACTGGGCTGCTAACCTCAGGGTTGGCAGTCGGAAACTACCAGCTGTTCCGTGGGAGAAAGATGAGGCTTTCTGCTCCCGTAAAGATTTGCAGCCTTGGAAACCCTGTACAGGGTCACTATGAGTCGGAACCGACTCCACGGTACTTAACAACAACAGCCTTACTATTTGGTATTGATTAAGGAAGGGTCTCTTGTACGCCAAGAACCAGAAGTCCATCTGGATTGGGGCTTCCTACAGTGCAGAGACTAGCCCAGAGGAAATCATTCACTAAAGGTTCTCAACTTCCTATCCCATGACTTATTTTTTTTTGGCATGGGCTGGACCAAAGTAATGCATAGAAAGAACCAGGCAGGAAAGATGTTTCAGATCCACACGGACGCTTCCTCCTTTCCCAGCCGGCAGGGACCTCCCAGGCAGGTTTGAAGCTGGCAGAAGGGCCCTTAAGGCAGTCTCAAAGTCCCCAGTCTAGCTACTAAAAGTGGCTGAACATTCCCTGAGGCTGGGAAATCCCAGAGAGATCCCGCGGTTAAAGTTCAGGAGTCTCTTTGCCCTGGGAAACATCCCCACCTCCTGGCGGTTGTGTGGCATCAGTCTTGATCTGGGCTGAGTCTATGAAGTATCTTGTGGTATAGGCTTGAACTAGGTGGGGTGCGTGAAGTGTACGGAATGGTATGTAGGTGGTGTTGTGGAGCACGTCTATAGTTTCTGAGGTGTTTGATGCTGTTTGTATTCAGGTGTGTATGTTGTGTTGTATATGAAATGTGTGAGGGATTCCTGTTGGAGATCATTTGAAATGTTGAAGAGTTGGCTTGGGGTGTATTGTGTGGACTCTGAAAATGAGGTGGGGAATGTGGGAATTTGACGTTGAGTGAAATTACTCTTGCCCACAACGCGGTTGAAGGGACAGTAAAAAGATATATCAGAGCGATCTTTCCCGCGGTTTCTAAGAGCCTTTCTTAGTGCACTCTCCTTCGCTCCGTAGTCATAGGGCTCGAGAACTACAATCACCAGAATGCCCCACTCCTTCACCAACCAGAAAAACGGTTATCTTTAGTGGGCGGGTTTGAAAGTGAGAGAGGCTGGTCCGGAAAAGTATGACCAATGGGTGAGCAGAATAGAATTGAAGCCTATGCTGATTGCACGGAGGGTGATTGGATTATTTGGCGCTTTCGTTTCAGTGGTAGGTGCTTGATAGGCGGGTGCAATGACCAGTGAAAAGGAGAGGGGGCAGATCCAAACGGTATGGGCGGGGTGAGGTGCTGCCGTTTGTCCAATGAAGAGCGGAAGTCGCTGAAGAGGGACGGGCGAGACCAATTGAGGCGGGTGTCTGAGTGCCGACTGGGCCATGGCGGAGCCTGTGAGGAGACGGGGCCGGCGGTCCCGCGGTGACCATGTCGGCCGAGGGGTTCGGGGGAACCGGGGCCGACGTCGTAAAGCCCAGCGGTCTCATGCGCAGCTCAGTCTGGAGTCCATGTTTGTGGATTTGATCAGCGACAGCGATGAGGATATCCTGGAGGTCACATCAGCGCGTGGCGCTGCGGACCCGGTTGAAGCCGGGTTCCTGGAACCCGCCGTGCCGGCCGCGTCCAAGGACGACAGCGACAGTGACAGCGAAGGGGCGGACGCGCGACCTAACGGAGCCCCGCGGACCGCGGTCAGGCGGCGGCCGCGTCTGCTGCTGGATCCAGGGGAGGCACCGGTGGTTCCGGTGTATTCCGAGAAGGTGCAGCCCAGTCAGTCCCGGGGAGGGCAGGCGCGGGAGGGATGAAAGGCCAGGAGGCTGGGCACCTGCAAGGCCCGGGCCTCCAAGCAGGGTTGGATTTAGTGAGGACTGAAGATAGGGTTTTGGGGTTGGTCTTGGGGCACCAAAACCGAAGTTAGGGCCTGGGCTCTTGAACCAGAGAGATGCCGCTCTGCTGAGGAGGTGAAGGGGTTTGAGGCAAGTTGAGAGTTTGGGATTCCGGGAAGCTGGACTTCTGGGGGCACAGAAAAGCCAAAGGGCTAGAATCCCTGGGGCCTCAGGGAGGAACTGGGAGGATCTTGGATTTGGGCGTGCTGGGGTTTGAGACGAGGGACTTGAGGGCTGGGGTTCATTGTGGTTCTGAGAGGAGCAAGGGGCCCAGTAGCACGAGATAGAGGCGCAGCTTCCCTAGGAGCCGAGGGTAGAGGGATGGCAAGCGAGAAGGAAAAAGAACCAAGTCTGGGCACAGTGCCTAGGGAAAGGGGGTGTAGCGGGGAGGGTCGTAAGGACCTGGGGTCTGGAGGAGGCCTGCGGGTTGGGGAGAATCACCTCCTCGCTATTTCCTTTCAGAAGGAGCCCTGGTGGTACTGAAGGATAAGCACGGGACTTAGTAACTCTACACAGGGTCGCTTTGAGTCGGGTTATTCCCTCTCAGAAGGGGGAGGACTTGGGGCTGACTGCTTCTGCTCTTCTTCGTCTTTGCAGGTGAAGAGCAGCCTCCACCTCATCCCAGATCACCTGCCCCTCCTGAAACTCTGCCCCCCAGTGGCCGAGGAAGGTAAGCAAGAAGTGGGCTCCAGGGAGAGACGCCAAAGCTGTCCCGCTTTGAGAAGACTCTTGAGGCTCAGGAAAGGGGTTGGGAGAGGTGACTCTGGTATCCCAGGTAGAGAAAGGCTTTGGAAAGATCAAGAAAAACTGAGTTATTAAGTAGAAGGCATAGGAGTTAAGAAGTTGTGTCAACCACTCTCTTTAACTCCAAGAAGCATGTGAAAGTATTAATATGCAGATTTCCAGGCTGTCTCTACAGAGATTCCAATTCTGTAATCCTGGTGGGAACATGGGGGACTTGTTGGGAATCTGTAACATCTTGTTACACCTGCAGCAAGGTCCTGGGGAACACTCTGGAGTCAACAGGGGTTCCTTGAATTTTATCTGGATTGCCATTTTTTGTCCTCTCTCTGATAGTATGATTTGCAAATCACTGAAAGGAATCCATTCTCATGAGGAAATGATAGGTGACTTTGGACTTTGGACCAGTACTTTTGTACCTTGAGAAAGTATGGTAAAGCGATTAAGAGCACAGCCTTTTGAGTCTGTTTGCCTGGCTCATGTAGTAGCTGTGTGGTCTTGGACAAATTTATTAATCTCTCAACCAGGAATCTAAGGTAGGCTGGTCTGGCAGATGTCCTGGGTGCTGCTCGAGTAGTCAGCAATGAGCAGTTTTTATTGGCGGTAACAGTTTCCATCACCAGCTCTGAGAGATCATGCAGCAATTTAAAACTGAATTGACATAGTGCTATTTTCTATAGATATGTCTCTGTTCTTGGTGCTTCAGTTTCCTCATCAGCAAAATGAGGATAAGAGTGGACCTCTGTCAAAGGATTTAGGTGAGAATTAAAGGGAATACTGTAAGGGACTATATGTAAACTCTACTCAAAGTGTGGTCCATGGGCACAGCAGTAGTGAGCGCCACCTGGGAGCTTGTTAAAAATGCAGACTCGCAGGCCTTTGGCAAGCACCATGTTTAGCTAGGACAGGATTTCTCAACCCTGACATTATTGACATTTTTTGCTAGATAATTCTGTGTATTGTCAAATAAATTTAACAAGACCCCTGGACTCTAACCACCAGATGATAGAAGCATTTCCCAGTTATGATGATCAAAAATGTCACTGAACTTTGCTAAATGTCCCTTGGAAGGCCACATTGTCCCCGGTTGAGAATAACTGAGCTAGGATTTATTACCACTGTTTTGGTTTTGTAGTATTTATTTATGTTCCCCCCAACTTTTCCTTGTAAATTGAGTGAAGATTTACAGAGCAGATCATCAGTTTTACATTCAATAAATCCTATACTTTGCTTCGTTGTTGTTGTTATTATGTGCTGTGGAGTCGGTTCCGACTCATAGCGACCCTGTACAAGGTTTCCAAGGCTGTAAATCTTTACGGGAGCAGAAAGCCTCATCTTTCTTCTGTGTAGCTGATAGTTTCGAACTGCCAGCCTTGAGGTTAGCAGCCCAATTAGTAACCACTACGGTATCAGAGCTCCTTCATTACATGATTGCAGTTCCCTTCATTGTAGTACTTATTTTTATGGTTTATTAGTGGCAAGTAAATTGAAAATGGTTTCTATACATTGTTATTGTTAAGTGCTATTGAGTTGGTTCTAGCCCATAACAACCCTATATAAAGTTTCCAAGGAGCGACTGGTGAGCTTGAGCCACTGACCTTATAGTTCAAACTAACTTTGCAGTCCAGTGCATTAGCCCACAGTGACAGGAGCCCTGGTATGGTGCTGTGGGTTAATATGTCAGACTGCAAAATCAGTTTGAACTGCAAGGTCGGCAGGTCAAGCTCACCAGCTGCTCCTTGGAAACCCTATATGGGTTGGAATCTACTCAGCACTTAACATCAACAAGTCAAAATGAGTGATTTAAAGAAAAATGCTAAACAATTACAATCCAGAGATATGACAAAATATGACAATGAAACTCAAGGCTGAAATTTAGGAAACATGGGCTTACCTCTTCAGCTTATTCCTCCCTGAAATATGACTCTTCAGATGCACATAATTTCTCTCTGCCCACCAAATTGAGTACAGGATGAAAATAAGAGAAACAAACAAACAAAATAATTCTTTATGTAAAAATGGTATTGGACCTTCTAGACTAAACTTCAGGAGAGGGAAGAGAATTAAGATCATCAGCCCAAAAATGAATCCTGTGAGACAAAGGTCAGACATACCTCTGTCCTCAAGCCCTTTTTACCAGTTCTGACATGAACCATCGTTCCCACAGCACTCTCTACTTCTCTGCTGGGTTTGATCATTGGTTGCAATGGTCACAGAGACCGAACTCAGGATTACGGGGTTTGTCAGAGAAGTAATAGGTTACTTAGTATTCAGGATCAAATTGGAGGTAACAGGAGCAACAGGGTACAGTTCTTCTATCAGGACAGCATCTTGATTTCTTTGGCTGCTGCTGGGCCCTTCTCTAAGTCTGTATCCTGAGCTCTTGGCCTAGGCTCTGCTTCGGCAAGTGTTACAAAGCTCTTTCATTTTGCTCATAAGTGCCTGGAGGCACCCCACACTGTCAGGAAGCCTTCTGTTTTAAGGCTTTCTGCTCTGTATTTCTCTGGTCTGGTTCTGCTGCTGCATGGTAGTGAGATGTGCCCTAGCCTCTGGGTTTGGCTCCCTTTAAGCCTAGCAGAAGAGCAAAACTGACCAATCACCTATACAGGCTCCATGCACCTTATCTACATTATTAATTATCAGCAGGCTGTCCGACCCGCTTAGTGGGCCATACGCACCTTCTTTTTGTGTCTCACCAGCCATTTTGTGGGAGTCACATGGCAAGAAGGACCATATAAAGTAATTCACTATACTGTATTGTGAAAACATTGATTTTATTTTTTAAGGTTTTTATTGTGGCTTGAGTGAAAGTTTATAGGGCAGATCATCAATTTTACATTCAACAAATCATACACCTTGTTTCATTACAATGATTATAATCCCCTCTATGTACAATCAGATAACAGTATTTCTCTTTATTCACTTTAGCTTTTTATTAAAAAACAAAACACTGGCATATATAATAATTTACACCTCTAAAGGGCATATTCTGCAAGTCTGCCTCCTGGCCACCAGCTCTTAGTCCCTCTCTTCCCATGAATCTAGAGTCCTCAGCCGCTCCCCGTCTCCATGTCCCCATCTCTGGCTTCCTTGCTTTTCTACATAAGGTCCCGTATTCTACTTGTGCTCTTCTCCCTTGATGGTCCTAGGGTCCTCTGTTTCTGGACTGTAAAATTAGCTACTCCCCAATTTTTGCTAGACAACTTCTACCTTTACAATTGTGACAGTCACAATTAATCATGATAACAATTATTCACTATGGAATCATACGAATCTTAGCCCCATCTCTTTTCACCAGACCCATCTAAACAAGATGAAAACTATTCAGTGGGGACTCTCTCTCCCCTCCCCACTCTTAAATTAAACTCTCTTTTGAAACCCTGTAAGCCAGTCACTTTGTGCCTTTATCTCCCCCTAATTTTAGGTAGCCAGTGTCTAAGTTGCCCGTCATTATCTACCCTGTGTAGAGGGGATAGCATTGATACTTGATGTGAAGACTCCTTCCCTCTCTGACCTATATTACCTCCATGATTATAGGTCAGGTTCATCAAATTGTAGCAATTTACCCTTGTTTCCTTTATCAAAAAATTTTTTTTAATCTTCCTCTAGTTGAGTTCTGGAGTCCTGGTGAGTTAATGCCTTCTTCAGACTTTTTTAGCCTTTTTTGTGTTTGCTCTTCTATCTTAGTAGTGTTGAGAGATTTATCTACTAGCTCACAGTTCTGGCTTTTATCTCTTCAATTCTACTCCTTTGCCCTTTCAGGGTATTGTCCATTTCTATTACTAATCGTTTGGACCTCTTTCTGTAGGTTTTGAGTTGTTTCCAGTGCTGTATCTATCTTATTTGATTGTTCCTGTAGCACTTTCCTGACTTCTTCCATATTTTCTCGACTCCATTGTATAGTGTTTTGATACATTTTATAATCATTTTTCTGAATTTCTTCTCAGGCATTTCCAAAGCCTGCCCATCTTCCAGTATGGAGTGTAGGTTTACTTCCAGCTCATTTGCCTCAGTCACTTTATCTCGTTTCTGGACATGTGCTGATATAGTCATCTGTTTCTGTGTTTTGGGCATATTCAGCAGTTATCTGTGGCCTTAATACTTATATGGTTGCGTATTTTGGTATTTTTAATGCTTTCTGATTGCCTCCAGGTAGATGTGATCAGGAGATGGGCTTCCCTTTTCACTCTTCCTGAGCAATTTCAAGATGCCACTGTTGGTCATTGTGACGTAACTCAGGATTTAATTTTCAGCCTATTTCCTTTTTAGTCTGCCTGTCCTGCTCCACAATCCCTGTTCAGGCCTTTTTCCTTGTGATAAACAGTTCAGGGCTGTCTATGGCTGTTTTGCACTGCTGTTTGGAAACTGTCACTTTAAATTTCAAAGAGATCTGTGCACATGTGTAGTGGTACCCTTTGGGGGTGGGATGTCCACTCGCTTAGGCACCCCTCTAGTCATCAGAATGGAGGTGCTTAGACAGCAAGAAATCAATGAGCAGATACTAAAAAAAAAAAATGTCCACACCTTTATCTCTGCAGTTCTGTCAGGCGTCCGTGGTTGCTCTGATACTTCCCCAGCTTGGTCTCACCCAAGATGGTGGCTCCAGGAGCAGCTGAGCATCTTGAATTAGAAAGCAATGGATTTCTTGCTTCTGCTACAAATTCCCCTGGTTGTAAGCCCTTCCAACCTTCTAAATATTCCTTTATATGTGGTTCAGAGTTCTGGCACCATCTCCTGAGCCTGCTTGATCTGGTATTCTGTGTTGTTGCTTACAGAACACCTCACTGCATGTCGCCCTATCTGCCATCTTGTTTGTCCTTTGAAAACATGTTTTATAAAATACAGTTTAGGGTTGTTGTTAGGTGCTTTCGAGTCAATTCCAACTCATAGTGACCTTAAGCACAACAGAATGAAACAATGTCCAAAACT